AGTAGGCAGCTATGAGCTCACGGCTGAGCAGATACCACCATGGGTGCTGGACTGAAACCTAGGCTTGGTGGGTTGAGCTGTGCCAAGTAAAGTCATCACCAGGAAGAAACTGCTGCCCTAATGCCATCTAATTCCATTGATGTAGCGTGTGCCCGTGTCCAGCCATTGACACATGAGATTGAGGACCAGTTCTGCCGTTATAGTAGAGAGCACCGACTGGATACAGAAGGGCGGAGTGATGGGTAAGGGGAGTTCAGGGCTTGACTTGCAGTCCCCAGATCAATCGGAAAGGGAGAAAATGGAGTAATTGATGATGAGCTTTTAAAATCTCAGTAAGGCAACGGCTTTCACTTAGATCGCAATTCCCCCTCCCCTCTCTTTTAGTAATTCTGACACTCTAAACTCCTGAGTGCTAGTGGACCACCTCTGGTAGCTCCCTAATGATCTGCTTTCTTAATGTGGTGCTGCCATAGCACTGTATCTTTGAGAGCCCCCCTGGCCTGCAGGGAGCTGACATCCTCTGACAAAGGCACCACTGCTGACAAGTTACTGAATAAATGAAGTACTCTCTAGCATTGCAGAGACACGTTTAGAAGGCCCATGTGTCTGGATATTTTATCATAGCCACATACATTTGAGACACAGTGAGGTCCTGATTGGTCAAGAAGAATAGAACTAATGATCCCTCAGAAAAGCAAAGCTTAGTATTAATTACTTCCCCCAGCTGGCTGTGCTTACAGCACTGCTGCTGCGGATCACTAGCTGAGTAAGGAAAGTGCAGATTTAGAAGTGTCCCTGAACAGTTGCCCTCTCTCCCCAGGGCTCGAGAGAGAAACTGCAGAGCAGACCAGGGTTGGGTGCCTCTCAGAGAAGCTTTTTGGCCTCACAGTGTTTTCTTGTCTTTTCTTTTTTCTTAAAGTAAATTACTTACAAACATTCAAATCCACATTTATATGGGGAGTTTGAGGTAGCCCCAGACTTCCTCAGCTCCTTATACAGAGGAACATAGCTGTTGCTGCTACGACCACTGGCCCAATGTAGTTGTTAAACATTTTGTGTTGTGGAGGTGTAGCTGAAAGTTTGTTTGCTGTTTAATGAACGTGTCTGTAGTTGAGAGCAGAGACTGGCATCAGACGCCACAGACAAGGCTGAGAGAGCAGGTTTCTGAAGCGCTAATGTCACATGCTGCGTTTCTCTGGTCTCCCAGACCACAAAGACTGTTAGCAAGTATGTTTGCTTTGCTTTCTTCTAAGGAAAGGCAACTCTCCAGTACTCTTCCACTGCTCCTGACACACACTGGGAATCATTGCTGACCTTGGATACACAGAACTAAGACGTTTCCCCAGATGCTTACTGATCACGTTTTCTGACTATAGGATTCATAAATAAATGTGTCTAATTACATTTTGCTTTTTCCACTTCTCTGAGTATGTCCTCCTCTTGGATTACACTCTCCTTTAAGACATTCACATGTTTTAGCCATGTGTATAAGCAAAGCTGAAAGATACTACAAGCCAAAGACCTTACTTAACTTGCACCGCTTAATGACACTAGTTATGGGGTAGACCAACCGAGATAAGACGTTAGTAATACTTGCCTTAAGTATTAATGTTAATGTTGGTCAGTGAGATGGCATAGTGAGTGAGGGTGCCTGCCACCAAGCCTCACCGTCACCAAGCTGACTTCCATCACCTGGACCCACAAGTCACCCTCTGACCTCCACATACGCACCATGGCACATACACACACTCAGACAAATGTAATTTTTAAAACAAAAAAATGTTAAGACTTTTAAAAGTTTTGTGTTCATGAAAATGTCAATATTTATCTGGGTTCATGAAAAGAAGGCTTTTATATTTTTTAATTAAATACATTTAAAATTAAAAATAAATGAAACTTACTTTTACAATTAAATATAGTCAAAACTTAAATCATATTTTGAATATTTTCTTGTATGGTACAGAAAGTTAAAAGATAGAAAAAGGAAGCATATCTCTGTTTTTGTAGTCCTTGTTTAGCAAATAGAGTGCAAAGTTCAGGCACAAACCAAAGAACACACTTAATTACAAATAGCTGCTGTCTTATTTTAAAGAAGTTGTGTGTTCTGTGATAGCTTTAAATTCTGACAGACACAGCTCTGAGCATCAATCACTTTACGGAGCCCCTTGCTCAGCTGTGTTAGCACATGAGCATTTTCCTCCTAAAATTAAGTGCCCTTTAAAGACCAGCAGTGTATTTAAAGATGTATCTCCATGGATGTAGTGGTAGTCTGCCCTTGAGAACCTGGCGGTTGCCTGTGCTGCCATGCTGCTGGTGCCCACAGAGTTAAGGACCTGGGACATAGAGGAGCCATCATGGTGTGTGCCTGTCATCCATCCCCAACCACGACATGCTAGTTTACCCCAGGCAGGTTCATTGTCACGGGGTCTCTGTTGCCCTGTGTCTCACTCCTGCTCTTGTTGCACCCTCTAACTGTCTTCGGGCATCCACTGTTCCAACCCTGACAGGGCAGCAATAGTGATGTTTTTAAAAATACCATTACGCTATTCTCTGCTCAAAATGATACATTTCAAATGAAACCACCACCATTAACTGACTAAACCTCAGCTACAACTTTGCTACTACCTCTCTAGCTTTGGAAAGAGCTAGGACTGGTCTTAACAGCATGTGGCAGTATACTTAAACAGCAGTGGCTTTTATAAGATGTTCTCTCTCTTGTGTTAGTACACAGCCTGGGATTTGGTGTGGCTGTATGTTAGCCCTCAGGGTACGAGACCACCATCTCCTAGTATCACCAGCATCCTGATGGAGGTCCCAGTTCGTGGTCTACAGTCACTGCATGAGCCATGCTGTCACTTCTACATCCCAGACAGAAAGAAGGTGCATGGAGAATACATACTTCCTCCTGAGAGCCTAGCCCGAAGCCATCCCCTGCTGTAGGTTTATTCTACCTTGAAATCTAGGGTATTTGGTTAAGAAGAAGTGGATGTACATATAGAGAAGAACTTCTGTGTCTGTGACAAAAGGTAAAGCTTCATATTCCAGATGGGAATATTAAAGAAAAACTGTCTGAAATGGAAAAAAATAACAAATAAATACATAGGCTTTCTCTTAGAAATTTGGAGGCAGAGAGTCAAACAAGTAGATGACATCATTGAAGGCGGCTGCATTTGGAAGGCAGGAGTGGGCACAGGAAGGAGCCCAGTCTGTATACAAAGCCTTGCAGTGCTCTGATTTCCAGTGTGCAGCCGAGGCCAGGCCTGGTTGCTTATCAGCTAGACTGCAGGCTGCATCTTGCAGCTTATTGGCTATCTCAAGTCTTTGATATCTGTGCAGAGAGGAAGGTATTGTGCATTATCAGGGTTGGGGTGCTTTGTACAGAAAGAAACCACACACTCAAGGAACAGACTGCTTAATCGAAATATGACACCAAGGCCCAGAACAGGAGGAAGAGGGAAATGGGACCTGGGGCTGTGAACTCCAGGGAGCCCAAGACATAGCTCTGTGCTCATCAGAAAAGAACCAACCATAAGATTCGACAGTTTTCTTGAGGAACGTGTGGGGTCTTATAATTGTGAGGCATAATAGGTTTTGTTTGTTAACTGCTTAAGACAAAAGGAATTGTTGATCATGAGAGACAGGGGTCCGAAAGGGAAACCATCACTGGGCTTGTAATTAATCACATTCTGTTTTCCCAGATACAAATCGTGTCATTATCTGGCTTTGGTACTAACGTCACTTAATTAGGGGGGTTGCAGCGGCAGTGGGAATAGGAGGGAAGTGGAAGGGCAGCGATTTAAGTGGATTACCAGCAGGTGCGTGATGTGGGTGGCGATGAAGCCCATTAGGGAGGTAATTCTGGGAGAAGCTCTTGATGTTGATCATTTGTGAAAAGGAGGGTTTTCTTCCCCGCCACGTACATGGTTCTGTACACTTGTCTACAGACCTTGCGCATCCTTACATCTGCTCATCAACCTCTGGAATTACTAACACCACGCTGCTTTAAAAGAGCAGACAAGGTTATTAACTTTGGCAGGAAATGAAAACTTGGCCTTAATATACATGTGAAATTGAATTGTCTGTAACACAAAGCTTTGGAGATTACCCATGCAAAATGAGGAGAGTATCTGAATTTGAAATTGTCCTCAGTACAGTGAGAAGTAATTCTGCAGACTGCATTTTTACTGCGTTGAAATCCATGAAGAGATTGGCTCTATTAATTTAGGTTTAAACATAGGCTCTGTGTCTCCTAAAAATGGTAAATGAGATGGAAAATGTACTTTACAGGAGAAAGTGTTTCTGGAAATGCTTTAGGCAGACAGACTTCTTCCCCACATCTCTGATTGCTTCTCACTGAGCTGGCTTAAGAGGAAGAGCTCTGTCCCCTGTGAGAGGAGTTTGTATTAAGGATTTGCACACACTGCCTCAGTTACTCCGTAGGCTTTAGGGGAGGACAAGTTGCAAGGTGAGTGGGGACCACAGCAGAGTCACTGGCAGCTCCTATGTTAGTCTCCAAAGTAGTGCATTGGGGTAAGGGGATGATGTCCTTGACAGGAAACCAGAGTCTGGGACTCAGTGACACAAACTAGCCTCTCACACACAAAACGTTTACCTTTTGTGGAAAAAGAAGTTAGCTTTTTCATCCCTTACTCTGAATTGTTTTATGTCACAAGGATAATGTTTCTTGTTCATTATTAATTAACAGAACAGCCATTGACCAAAAAAACATTAGTAACAGCCAATATGTCTGTGTTTCTGCCTTGGATAAGTCTTCAAAAAAAGTCTTTACTACTTAACAGAATTTTAACAGTGAGGAATACAAGAGTACAGATGCCCTCTGCCTCATTCTCAGAGCTGAAGCTAGAAGGAAAGTCACCGGAACTTGCAGATGATGTCACATAGCTCAGAAACCTCAGCCCCATGAGCAGATAAGACGCCCAAATGACAGACTGAGTTTCCTGTCTTCATCTCCACGCCCTCCCTTTCTGCTTGTATTCCAGGCATCGCTGTGCTTTATCTACATCTCCACAGTGTGTTTGGGGACCCGGCCTACCTACAGATGGCACACAGCTATGTAAAGCAAAGCCTAAACTGTCTAAGCAGGCGTTCCATCACCTTCCTGTGTGGCGATGCAGGCCCCCTGGCCGTGGCTGCTGTGCTGTACCACAAGATGAACAGTGAGAAGCAGGCAGAGGATTGTATCACACGGTAACCATGTTTGCTTATGAGGATTGTTGCCTAGACATTGTTAGGATTCTGCATATGTTAACAAAAGAGCCTTCGACTTGAGTTTGCTTTTCTCTCAGCAGGTAAACCGTCCCCCTGCTTTTGGTCAGTTCTCATGTTCCATATAGTTAAGGAATAGTCATGTAATCCTTATCTTAGTACACAATAGAAGACACTGGCATATTCCAGATCAAATAATCAGTTCCCTGGAATCAAAGCCTTGATCAGGGCATGACTAATTCATGGTGCTTCCCAGAATCAGCATTTGAAAAGGAAGTGTCTCTCCTTGTAAACCAGGGACCAAAAACTAATGCGAGACTGCCATCCTAGCTGGGTTGGGAGCACACCTGAAATCCCACATTGTAAGCTAGTGAGCACTCTTGATCTGTTAAGGAGGTGGATTGGCATGCAGCCCCACGGAGGACTCATTCAGAGTCCTCACTGAGAATCTGTGTCAGCAGGTGGAGTGATATTTCTAACGTGATCATCCCAGAGTCTCTTGTGGTTTTATATTCTTATTCTTCTTTCCTATAATTGCTGCTAGAAGTGCATAGTCATCAATTTAGTTAGTTGAGGAATTCCTTCATTACTATATATTGTCCTTCTGTATCCGTGAGTTCCCATCTGTAGATTCAGCCAGCAATGGTGCAAAAGTGTTGGGCAAAAAGTTTGTTATTCCCTAAACCGTGTAACTATTTACAGAGCATTTTAGGTATAACCTGCTTCAAAGCATAAGTGAAGATATCCATGGGTTACATATTAATCATCCATTTTATATGATGGATGTGATTGGTAGTATATTTTAGTATCTTTGGGTGCTAGAACCAGCCTCATGGGTGCCTAACAATAATTCTGATGTGTGTGTAGTTCATCAGTAGGCTTTTTGTACTATTCAAGTTGTGCTTATACTACAAGGAAGGAATTACTCCTGGTTGTGTGGTGGATGTATAGCTTGCATATGTATGCACACGTACAGAAGTTTTCCATTCTCCCCAAATTTTGTCCCATACACTGGTACTTTCTCATAACATTTTTTTTTCCTACTGGAAATTATAACCACAGAGGGAAGTGAAAGAATTTTTTGCTCTACCTATAACATTTTATGAGTCAATATAATAAATCAGTTTCTGCATTGGCTTTTTAAAAGATTTATATATTTATGTTACATATGTTGCTTTCTTCAGACATATCAGAAGAGGGCATTGGATCCCATTACAGATGGCTGTGCACCACCATGTGGTTGCTAGAAATTAAACTCAGGACCACTGGAAGAGCAGTCAGTGCTCTTAACCACTGAGCCATCTCTCCAACACCTTCCCCCGCCCCTTTTTTTAAAGATTGCATTGATATTTTTAATACATAACTGTGCTTATATCTATCAGAAGCCACAAGTTACAGAGTCCAACTTCAAATGAAAAGCCACATTATCTAGTATGTATAGAAAAAAACACCTTTGGCCAAGAACTGTTTAGTATAAACCTACACAAGCTTTCTGCGTGCTGGCTGGTTCTCATGGTGCTTGCTGGAAGATGCTGCTGGGGGACATTACAGTCATAAGCATCTGTGAGCCCTGTAGTTGTACTACTGACCTCCGGAGCAGGATGTACGTGCTGTTGCAGTACAGGCGTGACTCTAATAAAGGTAACCACTGATCTCTTACTGATTTGAGGCCACTCACCAGGAGGGATTTTATGTCTGGTACTGTAGCCTGGTCAAAAGCCCATGGTAGAGGAGCTACCATGCCCTGCTGGAGAAGCTACTGCTATTTTTTTGCCAAAAGGGTAGGGGACAGCAACTGGTAAGATTCCCGTGTACTTGTGACCACCAAACCCATGCTCTTATAACTAACCTTCATTAAACTCATGGGTGCACAAAAAATAAAATACGAATTTTAAAAACCTGTCACCAAGCTTGACCAGAGTGATAGATGATACCAAGCAATCATTTCTCTAAAAGTCTATGCGAAGTAAGTTTCTTCCATTGCAGGTTAACTGATATATGACTGGCCAGTGCAGAACTGTTGGATGCTCACTTAAGTCCGAAACACAAAACCTACCTTTCTTTTTTATTAAAGCCAATTGGCATTTGATATTCTTCAGTATCACTCTGAATTACTATCAGATACATATTAGTGGTTCCAGTATGTCACACACAAGGTCACCTTCCCTGAACACAGTGGCCGAGTAGTAACCTGCTTTGTTAAGAATTGTAACGGTATTTGGTGGAAACAAGGTGTTGAAACAGACTGGAGATTATGCTCAATACTGGTTACACAGATGTAAACGCACACTTGTCCCGTCTGCACATAGTCTGAGGAGCATGTGTGGTGGAATCCTGCCACCCTAGGCTGCAGCCGTGTTCTCTGTGTGTCATGCAGTCAGCCTTCTCCTCTCATCCTAAGGGCCTGTCCTAAGAAATGCTTTCTGGGAAATGGTAGCAGAGGCCACGATTGCTTTATTAAAATTAAAATACTCCGATGGGTAAGCTAAGACATATTTATTGTTTATTTGATACCTTGGTTGTAAATACCCTTGTGATTTACATATTTTTAAATTTTTATGACCCTTCAAGAACATTTTATTTATGGCCAGCAAGCTTGGTATGTACAGTTAAAATACAGAATGTGAGATCAGGCACGGTGGCGCCCATCCATGATCCTAGCACTTGGAAGGTAGAGGGAGGAGGATTTCTATAAATTCAAGGCCACTCTGGGCCACATAGTTAGCTCCAGGCCCAACTGTTCTATAGAGTAAGAGCGCATGCGTGCGTGCGTGCGTGCGTGCGTGCGTGCATGTGTGTGTGTGTGTGTGTGTGTGGTTATTCTTACAGTCACATATGTATGTGAATGTGGGTGTCGAAGGGACCTTTGGCCCCAGCTTTGGCGGCCTAGCTTCTTTGTTTCATGAGCTCTGTTGGGAACAGCAGTGTTTGCTTAATCTTTTGCATCTCTTCCCTCTTTGTGGCAAAAATTCCTTTGGTTTGGTTTCTAGAAGCCCAGAATTACTTTATACCATCAGATTGAGTCAGTGTGCTTACTTACTCTGCTTCTTAATGAACCATTGCCCTGGCGGCTCACCCTCTGGGGATCACACACTCGTTTCCTTCGGCAGTGTCTTTGTTGTGTCCACTGGCCACACCACCTATTGACCTTCCCAGCTTTTTTTTTGGTGGAATAGGCTCTCAAAATCAGAATTTTGAGTTTGAAAGAGCAAATATGCCTTAAATATTAAAAAAAATAATAATAATGTTTACATAAAGAAACCAGAATCCAAAGAAATCAGTTTCCTTTAGATTTTAGTTCCTAACCTTGCCTCTGGGCAACTTTAGCTTCCAGAAGTAGATAGACCCTCGAAGACATTTTCAGAATGGAGAGGACGTGGACTTTTTAAATGGAGGATGGAGGTCTGTAACTTCCCACAAGGGGTGGAGGGATGGAAGGATGAATGAGAGCCAGTGAATACAAATGGCCTGCTTGACTGACAGAACCTCTCACTGGTTCTCTCTGCTGTCTGTAAATTCCCTGAAGGTTTAGTCTACATAGAGTTCCTGATGTCAGAATGTACATAGAAGGCTTACCTATCTGCCACAGTAGGAGACCAGATAACAGATAGAGTGGTCCTTGGAGGCTGGTGGTTAGGGTGAGGAGGAGCCGTGGATTTTTGGACAGAGAATGGCATGTGTGTTGTACTGAGATGAATCAGAAAAGGACGACCCCCGTTATAAATCTTTAGACATAATCCAAGACAGAAAGTTCCATTAGCGCCCTGGGGATGTGCCACTAGGTGCCTAGCTGGGCACTCTGGTCATTGAGTGTCTTTATTCTTCCTCCTTTATTCTCTGAGGCGCTGGTCTCTTCTAACAACTTGTTTCTATTAATATCAGCCCACCAAAACAGATAAACAGAACCACAGAGGTACGCTTCTGGTTTGAGAGTTCTGAAAAGGACATAAAACAACCTTCATGCTTTTCAAATGCCCTCATTATCAAATGCCCTCATTAGTTTATCGTTAGAATGTAGCATGCGAAGTGCACGGCTTAGAGCCCTACCTTTAGTAAGCAGAAACACTAGTAAGTGCTGATGAATTCTGATCCTGAAAAGAAGTACCGTGTTCCTTAGTAGCCTAAACTCTGTTGTTGGGAGATGCTGGCTCTGCACAGTGTGTGTCTGTAAGCATTTAAACTGTATTCCTATTCTATGAGCAGCCCTAGTGCAAATGACTGGTTTTAAAATGTTAATTGTGTATCACCACCTAGTGGTAGTGTGGGTGAGAACACTGTGGTTCAAATGTTTTGTAAGATCTTCATTGACCTGAATGCAGAAATTGTTCATAATTATACTTCCTAGGGCAAAAATGACACCAAAATCTTCCATTTTAAATAGTTCCTTCAGTTTCTTTGCAAAAGTAAATCAAGTTCATTTTTACTTCCAAAGTCTGTAGGATTGATACATTTGTATTACTACTTAATCAAGAATTCTGATATGACCTTGAAGTGTGTGATCTGGCCACTGTAGTAGCTGAGTATATAGTAGACAGATTTGTTTTCTGAGCCCAGTGTTACTTAGATACAAGTTATGTCATGAGGGGAAAAACAAAAGTATGGTTTTCTTAGCAAATATTTTTAAGTTCTTTTGAAAATGAGGGGCTGGCTAAGCTCCTCTGCCTGGGGCTATGTTGAGGGCTCTTCTGTGTGAAGTCTTCTGTTTCTGTAAATGGGTTTTAAAAGGAGAGTCCTCTGTAGACCTGAATGACCAGCAACTGCTCCTGCCTGCCCCTCCCAGGTGCTAAGGGTATATATAGTGTGTCCCAGCTTGCTCAGCTTCTGTGATGCTTCTTTTTCCCTGAAGAGCCTTGAACTGCCTGGTTACTCAACATGGGTTACAGTAGAAGAATAAGGCACAAAAATCTGAATAGTGGCCTTTGTAGAATCATTCTGGGAAAGATTTAGAGTACATGTGCCGAACATTTGCGTTCCTCAAAGACCTGCATAAATATATACTGAAAAACAACTGGATCAAAATTATTGAATCATAAGGCATGTAAGACATCTTAGACAGATCCCTCTGGAAATAGTTTACCCTCCAAGAAACAGAAAACATTGTAAATTATTAAGTATATATAATATATACTTTAAATAAAAAATATATTTATGTGAATATATATATATATATATATACACACACATACATATATGTGTGCATACACATATACATCCCATACAGCCTTGCCGATGCCAGTATTTACAGATTAACCTGCTTCAGTAGCCCCAAAGTGCTACATCATTTTTTTCTTTTAGTTTGTTACCACCAGGATTGACCTTGACTATAAAAAATTGTATATATATTAGCTGAGCAGTGGTGGCACAGGCCTTTAATCCTAGCACTTGGGAGGCAGAGACAGGCAGATCTCTGTGAGTTTGAGGCCGGCCTGGTCTACAGAGCAAGTTCCAGAACAACCAGAGCTACATAGGGAAACCTTTTATCAAAAGAGAAAGAGAGAAAGAGAGAGAGAGAGAGAGAGAGAGAGAGAATGAGAATGAATGAGAATGAATGTAATTGCTGCCATTTGTGACTTTGTTAAGTATAAGAATGATTGGAGGCTGAGGATGTGAGTCAGGATAAGCACTTGAGCATCTTGCCCACAACACTGCTATTCTAGCCCTGCAGCAATAGATGGGAGGGAGGG